CCGGCTCCCTAGTGCTAAAACATCTTGGCTTTGCAGCCATAATACCTGGGTTCAAATCCAACTTTAACAACCTTTCAAGCAAGCGACTTAACTTCATCTGTCAGAGCTCCTCAAAAGATGTTCACGAGGTTAAATGAAGTAACATAGCTTTGTACTTTTTCACTTAAAGCATTATTACTCTTATAAAGATACATATTCTGCTTTGTATCAGGTTCACCATTAACATATCCGTCTCCCCAGCTTGTAGACAAAGCCTGTCTAATTGATGTCTGTTTCTTCTGCCCCAGCAACGAGCACAAAGCTCCAAAAGTGTATTCTGTGGAATTGTCCATTGATTTATAGCTGTGTCGTGTTTCTAAATCTCATCTCTTTCAACTAAAATCTGGATATTTAAGGGTAGCACCCCCATATAATTCCCGTCACGAGACTGGCACACACCTACCAGAGCTTAGGGAGAAGTTTGCACCTGATTAGAAACAGTGCTCAAGTTGTGCTTTTCCTTCCAGGGATTTCCCAGATGACCCATGTGTGCAGTGGAACACAGAGCATGTGGCCAGCATCCTTCTTCAGCATATAGAAGTGAATAGCATCAACCTGGTAAGGGAACACCTTCCCAGAATGCAAATCTGAGGTTCCCAGTCACACCTTTCCTGTGGCCACTCTCCCACTTCCAACTCTTCTAAAAAGAGTCCAAGACCTCCAGTGCTCTCTTTTAAACCTCCTGATGACAACACATCTTTTGTGAGACTAAGTAACCAAATTGTCAGCACTCAGGTAGAAGCAGAAGTTTTTTCCAACTATGTCCTCTTTTACCTCCCCCATCCTCCACCTCTGTCCTGCCACCTAAAAACTCAAGTCCCCAGGAGCCTGTGCTGCAACTCTCATTTGTACAGAACTTCACCTTTTACCAAGCATTTTCACGTTTAGAGTATCATTTTAATTTTACAGGTAAATGTTGTTATAATTCTCATTTTACATCAAGGAAATTGAAGTACCAGCGGCTAGGCAGCTAGCCCATGTTTGGCAAATGGTGACACTAAGCGTCAATTTCTCACTCCAAAAAAACACGAGGATAAATTCACACCCACTGCAGGGAGAAGATTCGAGTCGCAGAGCAATAATGGAAATTCACATTTACTTGTAGAGGTAGATGAGTCTGGGAACACACATCTCAGCTCTCCCAGGATCCGTTGGAATGGGCCTTTCCAATGGTCAATTTTAAGGCTGACAAGAAGGCTTAATGTCCACTTCTAAAATAATAATAATAGTCCTTCATGAGGTAATACCTAAAATTCAACCATTTAAAGCCCCAATCATATCAAAAATTAAGTTTTGATAAATTCTTATTAAAAGGTTAAGCCTTCTGGCAGAGAAAAACATGTTAGGCTTTTATCAATGATGAGTTTACTGAGTGAATTGATTTATTAGACCTTTTATAAGAACAGCTATTTGTTGATTTATTAGTCAGACCATCTTTGTTTTCTAATGACAGAAATACAGCTGAAACAGCCCACACAAGCCAAAAGAGCACCTAACTGGCTCACTCCAAATTACATATAGGTAGAGATGCAGGTGGGCCCCCGACCCTGCCAGAACTCTTCTCCATCTTGCTCTATGTGTTGCCTTCATTCTTTTTCCTGGCTGGAAAAATGGTTACCAGCAACTTGCAGGCCCATACCTCCCAGCTATAGCTTCCTAGGGAGTCTGAAGTGAAAACCCAAGGGGTTCCGTCCCTGAGATTAGGCATCAAATTCCTCGCCCTGCTGATTGCCCCTGCCCACACAGTCAGAATTTCTCAGGGCTCCACAGCCCAGATATAGACAGAGTTGGTCTTTGTTGTCCGCCTAAAGTAAAACAATGAAATCTGTGAAGTTTGCCGCAATACCCCTTGGTAGCCCAGAGCTAGCCCCCAAATACTCTCCTTTGTTCCATACTTTGGTGTGTATGAAGAGCTGATCTCCCCAGTAACTCTTCCTTATAGGATAAACTCCTATCCTTCTAAACTTGGCCCTCTTTGATTTGGCCCTTACTTAACTACTGGACACTGGTGAGCAGGATTGGTCCTTGCTAAAGGGCCAGGATTTTTGGACCACATAGCAGCTGGCCTTAGCTCTGAATATACAGAGAGGATATTCAGGGCACAGACAGCTCTGTATGCTATTCTTGCTCTCAGAAGAGTCTCCCAAGTTTGTGTCCCAGAAAAATGATTTGTGGTCCAGGCTCTTCAAGACTAACCTCTCTAAGAAGCTTTCCCTGACTTCTGCCTTCCTGGAGATTCCTACAGTATTTGCTGTGTGTCCTGTGCCTGTGACATGTGTTGCTATTTATCCTTTAAAGTACAGACCATGTCTTGTGAACTCGTCTGTAAGGCCCATGAAGGCAAGGACTGTATAATGGCATCTTTATATCCCCAAGAACTAGAACAGGCCCCAGACCATGCTCATCTCGAAACTGCTATAACTGTTATCTGCCACCTGTCTGCCTGGAGATTATTCTGTTGTTTGAGCTGCTCACATTCATTCAAAAGAGCGAGGGGACTTTTATTGTCAGGACAATCTTGAATTGATGTAATTTCTGTAAAGAAGGAAATCCTTTTAAAATAGGTCTTTAACACTCCTTGCTGTTAATAAGGGAATTCTCAAGTTTTCACAGTGCGGTTGGGAATAATTTCTCTGCACTAGTGTGGCAATAGAAGTATAAGGCCATGCTAATACCCATGACCAGTGTAGACATAAGCGGCCATAATCAAGCTAAGTATGGGTTTCCACTCAACCCGCTGTGATGCAGTGAAATGCACTTTCAGACAGACCCACAGTCCTTATACTCCAGGTATGAGGGATGAATCTAGGCAGGTGAGAAGTCACTCTGTGGCAGTCTTCCTACCAAGCTGAGTGCATAAATCTTGGGAGGGCCTCAGGTGCCCTGTCCAGACTGAAGTATCGACTGCACAATCAGAGAAGATAAAGCACCAACAGGGAAGCATAGGCAGAAGTGAGGAGCACAGAGCTAAGTCATGAGAAGGTAATTTCTCACCTGGGCTTTGCTGAGATGATACCAAAAGCTCTCCTTTGTCCAAAGCCAAAGCTGGCTCTGCAGCCATTAGCACAGTGTGATGGAAGGAAACTGTGTTCTGTCTAGTCTCAACTCTATTGAATGCATGCTGAGCTATCTGTCCTGCTCACTGAAGGAGTGTTGTAAGAACCACATAGAACAGCTGACAGAACAGAGCTTTGGAAAGCACATCTGTCAAATAGGCTAGGTCTTGGGCCCAACCTCTACTTCAATCTTTCATTTAACAAATATTTACTGAGCATTTGCTATGTGATATTTATTGTCTGTTGTGAACTGGGTCAGTGAGCCAAACACACCTAATTTCTGCTCCCTTAGGGCAAGATGTCTCAACAGTGGCACTATTGACATACGGGGCTGATAATTCTTTGTTGTAAGGGCTCTCCTGTGTACTGTACAATGTTTAGTAGTTTCCCTGGACTCTATCTACTAGATAACCCCTCCCTCTACCCAGTAGTAACCTTCCTCATTTGTCACAATAAAAATGTCTCCAGACATTACCAAATGTCTCTGGGAAAAAACTGTCCCCCGGTTGAGCAGCCCCACTGTTATCTCTTGTTTATTGGGGTCTGGGTAATATTTCATTTGAACAGAGAATCTGCAACATGGGGGGAAAGTGGATGGAACGTGTAAAGAACTACAGGTACCAGTGTTGTCATGCGCAAATCTGCAAAAGTCCAGGGAGCTGGATGCAACTCAACTCAATCCTCCTTGCAACATAAAGGAAGAGGGAGATTAAAAAGAAGGAATAGAATGAGGAAAAAACAGACCTTGGAGAATTTGAAAAGTGACTGAGCCAAACTCCATGTGGCCCCAAATTCCTTAACCAAGGGTATGCCCTCCAGCATGCCTATGATAATGACCTGGCCCCAACTGTCCAGCTCCATCTGATAACAATAGACTTAGAGCTGAAACAGTCTAGCTTTTATTGTTGTTAGGTTCCAAACACTTATGTGTGGCTTTATTTTATCTTCACCTCAACCCAATGAGGAAAACAGGGCACATATTACTTTTCTGATCTGTCAGATGAAGAAACCAAGACATTGAAAGTTGAAATAACTTACAGTGGCAAAGTTCTGTAACTTGCCCAGTGGGCTGGCATTAACTAGTGTCAGAGAGAAGAGCAGATATGGGTCCTTCTACCACACACCATGTTGCATGGAAAAATGGGATCAGAATGGGGTACCTGAGTTACATGGTTAACTTTTATTTAATAGGCTGTATTTTTAAGGGTAGTTTTAGGTTCACTGTAAAATTGAGCAGAAAGTACATACCTACCCCCCATCCCCCACAATTTATTGCAGTGAACCTACATTGACACATCATCACCCAAAGTCCATAGTTTACATTAGGGTTTCACTTTTGGTGTCATGTATTTTATGGATTTTGACAAATGTATAATGACATATATACACCATTATATGATTAGCTTTTTATAAGCCTTTAACTAATTTTTTGTAACTTTTCATTCTAGAGAATTTCAAGCATATAAAAGTAGAAAGAACAGTTTAATGAACTTCTGTGTTCCTATCACTTGGTCTCAGTAATTAACACATAATCACTATTTTCATTTAAACACCTGTTCACCTCTTCTACCTTTTGCAATATTTTAAAGCAAATCCTTGTCATCATATTTCATATTTAAATATTTTAGTATGCAAGTCTAAAAGACATTTAGTCTTTTAGTAACATAACTATAATATCAGTGTTTTGCATTTTTGGTAGTCTCGTTTCATAAATGTGTTTTTGTTTTTTGCAGCTTATGTGAATCAGGATCAGTTGATAGGACTTTAAATTCTCTTTTAATCTATAGCCCCTACTCCCAGCCTGTGCTCAGTAAATATTAGCTGCTCAGAGTTTTCTGTACATGAATCAACATGTTTTATGTTTTAGTATAGAAAGACTAATAATGAACCCCTTTCCAGACTATTCCAATCCCAGTTCCATGTCCCTTCGTCCATGCTGTGTGGTCACCTTCTTTCTTTGGAGACAACTTGCCTCTTTCCATCTCCCCTAACCAATTCTATTTCTTTTTCTGAGTCCTCGGTTTCTTTATTATGTTTCTTTTATTATTTGAGCTATCCTTTTATTATTATCATTATTATTATTATTAAAATTGTCCTTTGGGTTTTTTAAAATCGATCTGTGTAGAAATGAAATATTGGAACCTAGACTAAGCTTGCAGTTAATAAACAGATGCTATATCTGCAAAAATGGGAACAGGGCAGTCTATGAATAAACATTTTTTCTGTGAATTTAACCACAGGGCATGGTGGAAATTGTCCCTCAAAGCTTTTGTGCCTTTGGAATGGCACAAGGAAAAGAGACCCAATAAATCAAGCAGCATCTACATGAACAAAGTTCACAGAGCAGCCAGCCAGGAAAACTAAATGTACTAATGACTGGCTAGGCAGATAAGAAACAGATATTCTGAACTCAGGTTTCTGTCGTGAATGAATTCCACTTTGCTTCACTGGCCAGGAACAAGAATAAACAGTAAGCCTCACGGAAAAGTCTCTATCCAATCAGCTAAACCAGTAGTTACACACCATTGATCTGAACCAAAGTCAGTTCAGATACACTCAGAACTTGAAAAGTTTCATGGTTCTGCACTCTTCTTTCCTTCCCAAGGGAATGGGGACAGCTAGTTTGAAGTCGAGGCATGAGTGAAACCCTGTATTTCTCTGCAGGTGGTGACTTTCGATGCAGGGGGAGTAAGTGGTCACAGCAATCATGTTGCTCTGTATGCAGCTGTGAGGTATGATTCCCTGGGTGATGAAGGTGGGAAAGGTTTGTTCATTTGCTTAGGGTAGATGGTATCTAACGTGCTTTCTCACTCATTATCTGAGCCCTATGAAGCTTACTATTATCAGAGAGCCAGTGTTGGCCATGTTGCTCACTACATCTCACCACATCCTCCCTGTGAGAAATCTCTCTCAAGTCTTAATTATGATTTTTTTCTCCTAAATAGCTGGGAATTTGTTACCCCATGGATACAGCAAAGGGGAAGTTGATTTTATTTCTCTCTTTGCTTTGGCCAAGAAAAGCTGTAGGGCCAAATTTGCAACTCCTTGTAGCACATGTATGAGGATTTAAGGATTGGGAACCAGTGTGCCTCCTAGCTTCTTCTTTTTCCTCCTCTTATTCTCATTTATTTTGTTACCTACTGTTGTATATTCTTACACTATCTCATATTTTTTTTGTAGAAGAAAGATATACATACATAATATGAAATCTAATTTGTTCTTTACAGTCACCCTATATTACTGACATATATCTGTATTTAACCAGTAAAAAAAAAATGAACCTCAACAACATTAGGGACTTATTCAGGGTCAAACAAACATATACAATGTTTCCCATCCTCTAGAGAAGCGCTTCTCCTAGGCACCATTGAGCAGCGGTGTGGCAGCCCTGGCCCAGCTACTGAGGAAGGAAAGGAACAACTTGAAGTGAAGGATTTACCTAATTACCTTCTTCTAAACATGCCCAACATTCTCAGACTAGAGCAGTGAAATATATGAAGATGGAAATGACCTTACCTATATCATTAAGTCCAACCTCCTCATCTGACCAAGGCAGTGAAGTGGTTTGTCCAGCACTGCTAGGCTAAAAAATGGCAGGGCAGTACCAGAACCCAGGAATCCCAGGTCTCCATTCATTATCTGATCTGTCACCTGCGAAAACCTATCCAGTGTTAGGACCCTCCAGCCTTGTCCCTAAATTGTGTATCACCTACTGGAAGATGCTAGAAATCATTACCTACACAGTCTTTCCATACAGCTCCTCTTCTTTCCTTGACTATGAAATGAGGACAGGCAAGCATGCTCTCCTCTCTTATAAAGACTGTTCACATCCTGTCCTAGCCAGAGGCCACACCTATAAAAAAGACCCGAAGTTACGTTAGGCCCCTTCAGGTTCAGGAAAGACACATCCCCTGGTTATAATCTGAGATGCAGTTTTTTTGTCAAGATACATGGGAGAAATGAGGTAGCCCAGGAGTGGTCTTCCCAACCAACCATGTGGTTACTTTGAGGCCTTGGGCTTCCAAGACTGGAGTGGACACTCAGCCCCATGGAGACCTAGAATAGTGGATCCACCTCATTGCATTTTCACACTGAACCTTGTCATTTTTCACGGAGCTACCCTAAAGAAAAGGCCAGATTGGGTCTGTTACAAATAAACCAAGAGTACTTGGACAGACAGGGTTTTGGGGGCACTTGAGGCCACCGAAGTGGGGAAAGTGAGGAAGTCTTAGATCCCAGCAGGGAACGCCAAGGGACAGCTTTATGCAGACAGAACAGTCTGGGGCCATTTTCCTTGGAAGAGGCTGGAATGTCACAGACTTTTAATACTTCTGGGTCCTCTATACACTAATGAGGGTCACTGTGTTTGAGATAAAACAATTTATTGATATGCCTAAGTCCATGCTCCTTTGAAAATGACCTTATTGCCCTCCAGTGCCCCCACAGCAACACTCCTGAGGAAGTTCACAGTTACCAGTTCCCCTAGGAACCTGTCAATGCCCCCCCACCCAAAAAAAGTCTTCCTGTACTAGCATCTTACATTGTTTTCCATAAAGCCCCTGAGTTCTCATTCCTGTTTGAGTTCCCCATCCCCCATATGCATTTTCCTCAGACATGGTTTAGATTTATGGTTTTCTCAGGAAGTTCCTGACTGGCAGCACAGCTGTTTTGAGGGTAGCTATGCTCCATCTAGAAGCAGAGATCTGCTTCTATAATTTTACCACTTCATCTTCCATCCACTCAGCCCTGACCACTGCTAGGCTCTTATCCTCAAATATCCATTCCCTCTCTTACTGGACTTGTTCCTTCTCTTTCCCCACCTCCCCCAGGTATGGCCCCTCCTCTCAGCCTCAGTCAACTGTGTCCTTCCCGTATCTGAAACCAGAGAGGCTGGCAGTTTTACCTAGAAGTGACATCCATCTGTGGTCACCTAAAGTCATAGTGGAGGGTAAGGCTCTAGAATCGTTTCCTGCAGTCCTTGCAGGATAGGCACAGTCAGAAAAGAAGAGTGTTTTATCCAGAGCTGCACAGCTGCCCAGAGACAAAGTGGAAACTAGAATTCAGACCTCCTGTCACCTTTTCTAATGTTCTAAAGGGCACCTCACTGCCACTTTCCATTAGTAAGCAAGCTTGTGTAAATTGGAGTCAATGGCATGACCTCTTCAAGCCTTAGTTTTGTCATCCAAAAGATGAGAATATTCGCACCTAATCTGTCAGGTTGTTCTGAAGAAATAAAATATGTTGATACAAAGCAGCTAACAGAGCAGCATCCAGTACATGATGAGTACTGTCTTCCTCACCCCTTCCTTTCCAGGTGTCCTTCTGGCCCTTTCTTCTTTTGTTATTCGCCTTGCTATACATGGTTGCTTGTTGAAGGTACAAGGAAAACCAAAGCAACATCACAGAAGGAGGGGAGATGAGATGCTCAGGGACCACACAGCCGCTATATAAATTTCAGGAAACACTTCCTAGAAGATGCAGCCCCCAGCCTAGCATTCCATCCCAAGCCCATTTCATAGTTTCCCAGCAGGTTCAGCTGCCCAGTCCCCATCTTGACAGCAAACTCAAGTCTCCATTCCACCCACGGCTCTCCTCCCTTCAGTGCTTGTCTCTACTCATCACCTAGCGCTGCCACCTGAAGTTGCAACTACTGCAGTTCCAAGTAGAAATGCCAAAGGGATAAGGTTTGTCCTCTGAGCCATCCTTGCTTCTGGGCCTGCCTTCTATTCCCACCAATCTACTAAGATTGTTTTCTCCACAGTCACCTCCTAGCTGCTAAATTCCCAAGGTTTATTTCAGTTCTCATCTCTCTTGACCTTTCCATGGCATTTGACCCTGCCTGTTACTCACTAAAATACTACTTTGATTTGCCTCACACCAGCTTGTCCTCTCTCCTCTGGCTCCTCTGGCCACTACTGTCTCTTCCTGCTTGCCCTCCACCGGAAGGCCCTTCTGTGCTCCTGTTCCCAGGGCTCCCTCCCCAACCCCAGAGTCCTCTCAATGCAGACTCCTCAGTGGTAGTGTGTGATTTCAGCACAGGTGTTTCTCTCCACTGCTCACCTCTCTCCTTAACTTAGACCCTGCATTCTCAGCTCTTTCCTTGGAGATCCTGACCACCCCAAACTCAAAATATCCCCAGGGCTCTCCCAGAGTGCAGGACAAGTCACCTTTGTTCTCAAGATCCCTTTTTCAGATTTTTCTACTTCTCCAGTCTCTGTTGGGGTTAGGCCCTTAGTTTGTCAATTCTCTCCCAATTTCTCTTCCTTAACCTCTACTCCTAAGAATCCCTTTCATATTCATATGTATATCTACGTGTTAGGGGTAGAGTAGGGACTACCTACCTCATCTTCCATCCCACAGCTTTCAAAACAACAAATCCTTCAGAGACCTGCCTCCCTCTTCCTCTTAGGGCACAGGCACACAATGGCTTAACTGTCAGAGGTGAGAATGGAACAGGTCAAAAAGGAGAAAGGAACAATCAGGGAAGAAATGTCGATATTTTAAAAATATTCTCCCATGTTACTCACATTACAATTTCAAAAAAGAAAATCCTTGAAGAGTATACTGCAGTTACCTTCATCTCTAATGGGTAAAGCTTGAACCAGGGTACTTCATAAGCCATTGACCAGCCTCCAGGTTATCTGTTCTTGGGTAAGGTCCCTTCAACTGTAGCCAGAGGTATAGAATCCCATAAATCTATGTGGCACAAGAAACTACCCAGAAACCTCCCTGGAGGAACCATACTCTGAAGGTCCTTCCTGTTAACTGAAAGAAAATCTTACTCTCACTCTTGTCCTTTCCCTCCTCCAGGACCCTGCACTCAGAAGGGAAGTTACCTAAAGGTAAGCCTGTCCCTTTTGCAAAAGGCCTCTAGGTAAGGAAACTTATTAGGTTGAAATTTATAAATACACAGAAAGCTAGGCCAAGCAGAGGTGAGGGGAAGGACTGGCCGCATACTTCCTGACTCAGCTCAGTGTTTCTGTCAGTGAGGGCCCCCCAGGTCTCAATCGAGTTATATCCATTGATGAGTACCCAGCCAGCCAGGCAGGCTCTGGGTGTACTGGGAGGCTGGGGGTGTTGGTCAGGGATCTCCAGAGAAACAGAACCAATAGAACCAATAAAAGATTATATATGATTTATTAAGAATATATTTATTTATTATAAGGGCTTGGCTTATGCAATTATGGAGGCCGAGAAGTCTCATGATCTGCTGTCTGCAGTCTGGAGACCCAGGAAAACTGGTGGTATAATTCAGTCACATTCCAAAGGCCTGAGAAGCAGGGGAGCCAATGATAGATGTCCCAGCCTGAGGGCAGGAAATGACCAATATCCCAGCTCAAACAGGCGGAAAAGAACAAATTCTCCCTGCCTCTGTCTTTTGTTCAATTCAAGCCCTCAACTGATTTTATGATGATGCCCACCCACACTGGGGAGGGCATTTTACTTTACTGAGCCCACAGATTCAAATGCTAATCTCATCCAGAAACACCCTCACAGACACACTGAGAAATAATGTTTAGGCACATATCTGGGCACCCCATTGTGCAGCCAACACACAAAATCACAGCATAGGTCTTTTCTACCTCTGGTGTTCTTTCAGTCTGTCCATCCAGACTCATCCCATTCCCCAGTTAATTAGCTAGGTTGTAAATGACTAATGGGTGCTCGATGGATTAATCTGCCTGAGGTAAAAACTCCTCCTAACTTAAAGGGTGGCATTTGACCCCACTTGACCATTTATTGTGTGATGCTGATGCTTAACCTTTATGAGCTAGTTTCTGGTCTGTCAATGGGGATAATATACATCCCTCACAGGCAGGAGGGATATGAAGGTGAAACAAAAGAAAACAAGTAGTGTGTGCCCTTTCTGAGTGGCCTTACTGAGCTTACCAAGCTGTGCAGTCTTTGGAACATAACTATAGTTCATTTGATTCTTACATGTCATCCCTGTGAGACAGGCAGGTCCCACACTATCAATACCATTTTACAGATGAGAAAACTGAGACACAGAGAGGTTAAGGGACTTTCCCAAGTCTGCCAGTTCTTTAGTAATAGAGCAGGAAGCAGGTCTCTGGCCTCCCAATACAGAAACTCCTGTCTCCATCCCCTTTCCCTTGCCTCTGAAAGAGCCAAATCCCAGCCACTAGCAACCAACCTTCTATTGCTAGAGCATGTTGCAGGGAGAGGGCAGCTAGCCAGGTGTTCTACAGCCCATTCACACTTCTCATCTGTGAAAATGATGGGCAAAGAGCAGCTTTGGTGCCACAGAGTAATCTGGCCAGTCCCCGGCCACTGCCTAGAGCCTCAACGGACAGGTAGAGTGCGCAGGGAGAATCTTCCCAGAAGCGACCACTCTCTCTTTCCTGCCTCTCGCTCTCCCACCCAGGGTTCCCTGTGCTCACACTTCAGTCTGTGAGCGTGCTGCGCAAGTACCTCTCCCTCCTGGACCTGCCCTTTTCTCTGCTTGGTACCTGCGACGTCCTCTTCGTGCTCACCAGCAAAGAAGTAACAAGGGCCAAGGTGAGGACTGTAAATTCCTGGACAACCCAACTCCATGTCTGTGCCCCAGGCCTCCTAGCTCCTCAGAGCCCCAGCACTGCAGAGGCCCTAACCAAAGACCATCCACAGCAGTTCAGCGTCTGTTCTCAAGTGTTAGCAGTAATAGATTTTCTTGAACTTCTACTTTTTTTTCTGATTTTAAAAATAATACATGACTTAAAAAGTAAACAATAATACGTGCTCATTGCAGAAAATTGGAAATACATAAAAGCATCAAAATTAAAATAATTAATAAAATTACCTGCGATCCCACCTCTCAGAGGTAATCACTGTTAACATGTTGGCCTATATCCTCTATAAAGAGTATGATATAAATATATATACATATACTTATATATATTCTTATATTTTTAATGGGATTACAATGTAACAACATATGTCCACTTTCTCTTGTGTCATTAAGTATTTAAATTGTAATGGCTGCCTATATTCCATTGTGTGAAGTACATAAGATATGTCACAAATCTCTTATTATTGGGCATTTCAGTTTACCAGTTTTTCATTATTATACATGGAGCCACGCTCCCAGTCTGAGTCTAAGACCAGGATCCTCTGTAAAAAGCCAATGGGACAAATCAGTTTGCCTGTTGAGGAAGAACCAGGCCCAGTGAGGCCCTTGTGGTAAAAACTCTTATGTTGTTTGGGCAGGTGATTCTAAGAACCATCGAATTAGGGAGAGGTCAGGTTGAAGAAAATCACTCCAGTTTGTCTCCAGATGCACCCCTGCATTGATGTAAATCCACCAGGAAGAGAAGGCTAGCAATGAGTAAATCTGAGAGAACTCAATAAGTTTGGAGGTTTTTGGTGGGGTGGAGGGGGTCTTAGCTTTGTTTTCTAAATTGTCTGTAATAAACATTTATTTACTAAGAGGCACTTTTGCTAGATGCTGAGAATGCAGCATTGAGCAGAAACATTAATTCTTATTTCTCTGATAGTTCATTTCTGTTCTTTATTATTTCTGTCCTTCAATTTTATTCATGTTTTACTCTGCTCTTCAAATTTTCTTGGACTTGAAAGGTTAGTTCAATGTTAATAAATTAATACTATAATATTAAACAAGAAACACATATAAAACAAAGTTATGTATTGATCTGTTGGTGAAAATATTGCATCCAGAAGCTCACAAGAACCTAAACCTTAATTTCCCCTAGGAACAATGGTGCAGTGTTGACTAATTCAAGTGTTTGCAGTAACTTTATCGAACATAACGACCATGAATAATGAGAACTATATATATGATTATCTGATATATATTATCATATATACGATTATGATTATAAGAATATGTAGGTAATCTCTTTTTACTGTTGATTTATAATTTAATTGCTTCGTAGTCAGTAAATGTGCCTTGGGTAATACTAATTTTTAAAGATTGAGATTTCCTTAGTGAATGACCTAGTTTATGATCAATTTTTGTCAATGTTAATGTTTATCTAAAAAGAATGTATGTTCTCTATTTGTTGCAGTTCAGATTCTAGATATAACTAGTAGATCAAGCTTAGTACTTATGTTGGTCACAACTTTTGTATTCTAACTACTCTTTCTACATTTTGATCTATTACCTTCTGATACAAGTATACTAAGGTCTCCCACATTGGATTTGTACATTTGTCTTTGTTTTTACTTGGTGTTCAGGTGCGCAAAGATCAAGGTTGTTAAATCTTCTTACAGAATATTCCTTTTATTATCTAATAATATCTTTATTAGTGGTTCTACCTTAAATTCTATTTTAATATCAAATTGCTACAAAAGCTTTCTTTGGGCTAGTATCTACATTTTGTTAATGCCTTTATTTTCCACCTTGTGTTGTCATTTTTAGATGTTTTCTGTAAGCCACATATAGTTGAATTTTTTTTCTTAATCCCACTATGAAATACCTTATAGTGGGCATATTTGGCCCATTTTTATTTGTAATTGTTGATATTTTTGGACTTATTTCTACTATCTTGTATTTTCTGTTTAATATCCCCACCACCACCACCACCTGCCCTTTTCCTGTGTTCTGTTGGATTGGTCAAGTTTTCCACAGTCTCTCTCTTCTCTTCCTCTCTCAGCTGTTATAAAAATTTTAATATCATTCATAGCTATAAAGTTCAAAGCATTTGGCAAAGAATGTCCTCCCTGCCACAGAAATTTAGCATGTTTTACATACTGATACATACTTGATTCCTGGCCCTCTGGTTGTTTCTTATATCACACACATTCCCTCCAGGTTCTTTTCTTTTCTCTGATATGTTTGCTTTAGCAATTTTTTAGCAAGGGTCTAAGGAAGGCAAATTCTATTAGCCTTTAAATGTTTGCATGTCCTATCTTTTGAATGAGTTTGGCTGGAAATAAATTTTTGTGTGTAACTTTCCCTAAGCATGTCTGAAGATGTAACTCCCATCTAAAGATGTAATTACTATAATTTGTGATAGCCTTATGTTTTGGTAGCATCTATGCTGATGAGGAGCCCGCTATCTATATAATCTTATTCATGTGTAGTTAATCTCATTTATGTTAGCTTTTAAGATTCTCTATGTATTTCTGGGTTCTGCAATCTTATTATGTCTGGGTAGCTTTGTTTGTATTATTCTGCTCAGTACTCTCCAACTGAGGGTCCTTCCTTGTCTTTTAGCTATTCTGAAAAATCCTTACCTATTATTTCTTCAAATATCACTTGTGTGAAGTTCTCTATATTCTTTTCCTGGACTCCTATGAAATATATCTTGGGGCCTCTTAATCTATGCTTTGTGTCTCTTTAATTATTCTCTCGAATTATTTCTGTATTTCATATTTTGTTTTCATTTCATAATTTCTTATTTTTGGAAGTTGTTATTCGTCTATTTAGATCTTTGAATGTCCTTCATGCCATTATTTTAGTCTTTGACAAGCTATTCTAGAAAACTGTTTTCATCTAGATATAGTCAAAGTCTGATTGCTGATAATATTACCTTGCTTTCTTTGTATTAAATTCCTTCATGTCTTCAGGAACTCTGATTTGCAAACTAGGGGGAAGGTATTTTTGTTGTTGGATTTGGGAGTTTTATCTCCCTCTTCCTCTGTGCTCTCCCTATCTAGAGTTTGCAGGTGCTTGAAGGCCATAACAGGCCCCTCTAATGGCAGTTCTAGGCACAGAGCCAGCAAGTAACTTGGTTCAGTGCTGATCACAAGGCATTCAGCTTGCTGGGAGCTGCATGATTGGCAACACTTACCCATTCTCTTTTCACAGATGAGGGAGCACTGTTCCTGGCTTCAAGCAGTATGGTTGGGTTCCCTGTCCCTTCAGTGAGTCCCTTTCAGAAGCAGAATTACCAGCCACCACAATGCTCCTGGGCCATGAGCCATCCAGCCCTCTACTTTAGCCACTCACATCTGTGTTTGTTTTCTTTACATTCATGGTGCTTTTGGTCTTAGTTTTGACCCATCCTTGTCTTTTTTATATTCTCTGCATTTTTCTCTATTATTGCTCTGTTTTTGGAACAGGAAGTATGAAATGAATGCCTCATCTTAACCAGGTCACAACACCTGAATTATGTTGAGAACAATAAAAAAGTAAATATAATTACCATATGATCCAGCATTTCCACTTCTGGATATCCAAAGAAATCTAAAGCAGGGTCTTAAAGAGTTATTTACATACTCACATTCATCACAGCATTATTCACAACAGCCAAGTAGTAGAAGCAACCCAAATATCCATGACAAGGGAGTGGATAAAGAAAGTGTGTGTGTGTGTGTGTGTGTGTGTGTGAGAGAGAGAGAGAGAGAGAGATTTAGCTTAAAAAAAAAGGAAATCTTGTCACATGCTACATGTATGAACTTTGAGGACATTATACTGAGTGAAATAAGCCAGTCATAAAAAGACAAATACTCTGTGACTTTACTTATATGAGATATCTATAACAGTCAAAATCATGGAAACAGAAGGTAGAGTGGTAGTTGCCAGGGGCTGGGGGAGGAAATGGGGGTTGTTCGATGAGTATAGAATTTTATTTGAAAAAGTTCTAGAGATCTGTCATACAGCCCTGTGAATCATTAAGGCTACTGAACTGTACACTTAAAAATGGCTAAGATGGTAAATCTTATATTGTTTTTTTTCCTACAATTAAAAATAACATTTTGGTAGCAAAGTGGAAAAGACCAAATGATAGAAGATATTATTGGAACATTAAATGAAATAAGTGTGTAAACTGGTATAACATTTCTGGGAAGTAACAGTAATAAACATCAGAAATCTCAGAAATTGTACTTTTGACATTCTTGATACATTAAGTGAAAACAAACAGATTACAGAGCAATATATATAGTGTGATACATTTTTACACAGAAAAAGTCAAAGAACATGCAAAAATATTAATATTGATTACCTCTGGATGGTGGGATTTTAGGTGAGTTTTTTCTTTTAATTTTTAAAATTTTATAAAATGATCATGTATTACTTATATAGTTCAATAAATTTATATTTACTCTGACCTACTCATTTTTATCTCTAGAATTATATCCTAAAGAAACGAACAAAGGTGTATCCAGAGATTTATGTGCAAGCATGTTCATTACTGTAATTTGTGATAGCCAAAAAAGGAACTAATATTCAGCAGGTGAATGACACAGTATTGTACACCAGTAAAATCATAGTTTTGAAAGGCGTGTAATGAAAATGTTTCTCAAGTGGGGAGAGGGAGGAGTAGAAACAATTTTGATATTTTGTAATATTCTCAGAAAATCTGAACAAAAAGGAATAGAAAAATAGAGTTTGTAAAAAATCAAATTGGCAATAAATATATAACTCCTGTAAGTGCCCATCTTATTGAATGCGTACTAAAAAGTGATTGAAAGATTAGATCTAAAGACATTGGCCACTTGGGCAGCATGATGTGGGAAGCTTATAACTTGATAACTGTCACAAGTAGACAAATCAAGTGTCTTTGTACTACAAAGTTCATCCATTCTCTTAAGGTTTTTTTAAAATGAACGTTTTTACTATGGTCTTCAAAATTTTAACACTATTCTGTGAGTTCATCCATTATGTTTCTACATATAATTTCTTATTTAAAAAATTTAGTCATATTTCCTTTTGAAACAGTCTGCATATTATTTTGCCTGAATATATCCTGTGGTGATAGTTCCCTTTATCATTGAAAGTTTGTGATTATCACAGGTGTACTTACATCTTTAAAGCCATGTATGTTGTGACAGTAAATATAAAGTGAGTTCTTTAGATGAAAGTTTACAGTGATATTAACTTAGGCAAGTTAATTTTGTTAAAGGAAAAAAAGCAAGAACCATTTATATATGTTTATATATAGTTAAATCAGTTGCTATGATCTAGTCTGTTTAAAAACTGTTTAAAAGCACCAGATCTGAACAAGAAAATAAACATTTCCTCCAGTAGGTGGCAAGGAGAATCCATACCTATGTGTACCATCCTTTTTCCTTCTTCTAATTGTGATTGTACCTTCCCAGACTAGCCAATTCAGAGGAGTCTGAGAATAATCTAGCTTGCTTCCCATAAAACATCCCTGTATGTGTTAAGTGTGTGAGGTAGTAGAGCAAAGTGATTAAGAATGTAAGCTCCAGGGGGTGGTTCCATAGTGTAATGGTTAGCACGTCTGCTTCACACGCAGAAGGTCCTGGGTTCACGCCCCAGGTGGAGGCACAGACTGGCCCCGGTGCACTGGGTGAGTCAGACCCCATCTAGCTTGCTTCCCATAAAACATCCCTGTATGTGTTAAGTGTGTGAGGTAGTAGAGCAAAGTGATTAAGAATGTAAGCTCCAGGGGGTGGTTCCATAGTGTAATGGTTAGCACGTCTGCTTCACACGCAGAAGGTCCTGGGTTCACCCCCCAGGTGGAGGCACAGACTGGCCCCAGTGCACTGGGTGAGCCAGACCCCGGGTGTGTGCCACAAGCGTGTAGGAGGAGATGCCCCGCCTTCAGAGATCCAGTCCTTAAGGGGAAACGGCAACATCCATAGGTCAGGGGTGGAAGGGGAATGGGGATGGGAATTAAAGGAGGGTGGAGAATGTCGGCTCCAGAGTCAATCAGATGGCTCTGAATTCAAATGTCAGCTCTACTACCTACTAGCTATTTGAGATTGATGAGTTTCCTCATCTGTTTTTTTTTAAAGCAGTTAATAATAATAGTACTTAACTCACAGGGTTTTTTAAATTGAGATAATGTGTGGAGACTGCTCTAACTGGCATTAGCATCATCTGCTGTTATCACAGGGGAAGAAGTAGAGATGGGAGAAGGGAGGTAGTGATTTGGAAGCCAATCCAGAGAGGTTTGCAGGTTATAGGAAGAAGCCAGACAAGACAACAGCATGAGGTGTGTTATTGGGAGGAAGACAGAACTGAAGTTACAGAAACTGCCCCAGTGAAAATGTTCCATAACTAGTCTTTGATTCTTCCAGAGAGCCATGTCCTGCCACCGCAGCCAGCTTCTCTGGTTCCGCCAGCTCTATGTGTTCTTCTCCCGGTACATGAGAATCAACTCTCTGCACTTCCTCTGAAGCCTGGAAGCCTTTTCTGATCCAAGGAACAAAGAGAAAAAATACCAGGAAGCCCAGGGACCTGGTCTGGAGCTGGCTTTTCTCCCTGAGCCAAAAGAGATCCCAACCTAAGGTGGCCTCCAAGAACTCTGCTCATCAGTACTGGTCAGACCCTAATAAAAGGGAGGCCCTATAGGCCAATGAGCTGTCTAAACTTCAGCTTCTTCCTGTGGGGAAAAAAAAGCACAACAACCAAAAACAATTAACCCAAAGATAATAATAGCTACCCTGCTAGCTTCTCAAGTTCTTAAAAATAATGTACATAATGACACAATGTATGTCTAACACCTACCACAGAATCTATTATTGTAAATAAATGTACAAGTGCTCTAAAATCACTTCACAGCTGCAATGATTGTAGTATTCGTTTCCAAAGCAGGTTCACCAAACACATACACAAGAACAGTCTATGTTGAAAGTTCAACCATAATTCCTTTGATTTATCTCTGTGGTTTACGTATCAGATTTGAATATAGGGAAAACTTGATCTATTTAGCACCATAGTCACTGACTGGGGCACCCAAGCTGCGATGACTGTGCTGGGCACTGTTTCACACAGAGACAAATACGATTTGGATTCTACCCTCAATGAGCTTACACTCAAATATCGCAGTTCTCAGTCTTTTGGGGAAAGCAGGAAATAAAGAAATCTGACCTTTTTTTAAAAAACACTCTAGAACTTGATGTCTTAAAATTGTGCTGTAAACAAAAGCACTCAGGTCTATCTTAAAAGCTTCTCAGAGTCCAGCTAATGGTCCAGTCAAGTGGCCTGAGGTAGGGAAGCTCAGTGGTGAAGTACACAGGCCCTGAAGACTGGTAACCCTGGGTATGAGGCCAGAATTACCAGCAAAGTAACCGCGAGCGAGGTGCTTAACATCTCTCTGCTGCCATTCTCTCATCTGCAAAACGGGGACAATCATGTACCAGCCTCAGGAGAGATGATGCGTGAAGGTACACAGTATAGACCTGACACACAGTAAATGCTCAGGAAAGAGTAGCTGCAGGTATTCTGAGATCTAAAGAATAAGTAGGCATTAAACAGAGGGACTAGAATAAACCGAAAGCCTGACACAGAAAAGACCTTGCATTGTTCCTGAGTATTCCCTGTGTGGGTCAGATGAAGTTCTGAACTGCTGTCTCCATAGCCACAGGTTAGAGAAACCTGCTGGTTAGAGCTCACCACCCATACTTGCTCTACTTTGCTGAGGGTCACCAATATTTTGAATGCCTCCTGTGGGCCAGATGAGACTGTTAGGCTATTAGGCCCTAAAGCTGGGATCAAAAATGCAAATCTCACTGTTATCTGTCTACTAAAAATTTGTCAATAGCTCCTAATAGCCTTCATATGAAAGCATGAAAAGAAATAAGCCACTGACACTGGTTAGAATGTGGTGGACCAGACTGACTCCTATCCTGCTGCTAGGAAGACAGACACTGAAGCCTTTCTGCACAGCAGTTCTCAATAAGAGCTTTTAGAATACACATACTCTGTGACCTAAGGAAATATTTTAAAAATCAAAATTATATATACAAAGATCATCACAGTATTACTTAAAATAGCAAAATTAGAAAAATCCAGTGAGTCAAGCATATTTACTAACAAGGAAAAATCTTCTCATGGTACATTGAATCTTAAAAAGGTTAGGGATGGTACAATCTAACTTTTATTTAATAAAATATAAATATATACACGTAACAAAAGTCTGTAAATAAATATATATATTGAAGGATATATATCCATAAAGTCATCTTTCTATGATGAACATTTATAATTTTAAAGGATTTTTCATTGCTTATGAATAGTTTTGATGTGAGAAAATACTTTTGATATAATGTGAAGTTAAAAATTGTATAGCCAGTATAATTTCAGTTATGTAAAGAAATGATTCATTAAAAACTAGCCATTTATTTACTGCTGGTAGACATGTAAATGCTAGAACTTTTGTGGAGGACAGCTTGGCAATTTCTAATAGAGTTAAATACCCTTTGATCCAGCATTTCTACTTCCAGTAATTTACACTATAGATTTACTCAAATGCCAAAAGAGGTATGTAAGGGATAGACATTGAAACACTGTTTATAATAGTAAAATACTGAACCAGTCCAAATGTTCATCAATTTAGGATTGGTTAAATAAATTGTGGATAGAACAGTAAAATACCATAAAACTATTTAAAAATAAGGCAATACATTGATATGGAAAGATCCCTAAAGTATATTATTAAGTGAAAAAAGCCAGATGCAGTGGGTAGTGAATGCAACCATTTGTGAGGGGAAAAAATATACATCTACACATACAAACGTGTGGACAAATAGGATACCTCTGGTAATAGTTCTTTGTCTCTGAAAAGGAGAATTAAGTGGGAGCAGGGAAATGGATACCTTTTGTCCTTTTTGAATTTTATAACCAGTGCATGTAGTACCTATTCAAAAATTTTTAAATCTTAGAGGTTAGAAAGATGTGTAGGATTATCACTAGTAGTTGCTTCTGTGTGGTGGGATTTAAGACTTTCTGCTTTTGTTTCACTGTACATGGTGACTTTTTTTTTTTAGTAAATTAATAGCCTAGATGAAAAATGAAAATAAACATTTATATTTACTGAATGCCTGGTGCTTGATTTGCACGAAACTGCAGGCTCTACTCCCGAGTTCCCAACGGGAACAGAACTAGGTTCTCCTTGGTGCCAGAAGAGAGCAAGAGACAGCAGCATAAGAGGGAAAGATGCCCCTCAAGGCCTGGCAGGGCTGCCACTGTGCTCAAGTTAGGGAAAGGTATCCTCCTTGTGGAATGCAGCCCTGGGGGTACTTGTTTTGGCAAGAAAGCCTCTTTGTGCAAATTATCAGAAGGCAGCCCCCACTCTAAGCAGACACACTCCCTCACCAGAGCAAGACAGCCTGCTGGGGAGAGAAGCACAGATTATCCTCTCTAGCCCTCTTAGCCATGCCCTTGTGTAGTTAACAACTTGCAAAACCGTGCCACAGCCCTGAAGCCTGAAGCAAAGATCAAAAAGTAATAAAAATTACACTTTAGATGGGACCTGTATTCAGGTAATCTGTAGTCTTAAATATATTTGTTTAAAAGATTGAAAATAAACTACACGATTCAATTTGAGAAAATAATACAAACCAAGAAAAAGTTGGAAGAATTCAATACAAATTAAAGATAAAAATAAATGAAAAAAAAATAGTTGAAAGGATAAGTTTTCTTTGAAAAATCAGATAAGCCAACTTGCTATTAGACAATAGCAAGTCTAATTCAGAAAGAGAAAAAACAAGTGTCGTTACTGGGAATGCAATAGATTTACAGCCACAAAAAATAAAAAGACTGAAAAAATGAGATGACGTGCAAGTCCATGGCAACAAAATTTAAAATATAAAGGAAATGGATGACTTCCTAGTAAATTTTGGACTACCACAAAACCCTATCATAATGTATAAATAGGGTCCAAACATTTCAATCTCCTAAAATACAGGGCTGCATTATTGCAAGATTCATGAAAACCCGTATTTTTAAATCTTCCCATGACTTGGCATCAAGCAGGCACATCCAGGACCTGAAGGTGGTGCTGCTCCATCAGCTGTTCTACTTTCTTGGCAGAACCTAGGAGGGAGGGAGGGAAGCCTATGCACCAAGATGTTCAATACCAACTGCAAGTGGGGTAGGAAAAAAGGGCAATGAGCCAGGCTCTATGGGGGTTGGACCCTAGGACAGACTGATGTTATGGTGGCTCTCTCCTAGCACTAGAAAGCTTCACATTGCTCCTTTTGTTGAGCTCACAAAGTGAAAAAGGCTCTAAAACTGAACAAGTCCCAAGTAGGTGGTCAATTCCAAATCTTCCATCCCCACACCCCAGCACTAGCCTTGGCCTGCACACGTTTGAGAATGGGGGTTAGACAGGGAACCAGTACTCAAGGACAACTGGATTAATCCAATGGCAAGACATCTTACTAATGGGATTTTACATGACTAAAATTTAAAAAGTGAAAGAGAACAGACTCAATAAATAACATCAGAACATATTAGAAAGGGAATTATAATAGATTTTTTAAAGTTTCCTAGTCTAGATGGTTTTACAGCTATCTAAAGGTAATTCCAAAGTTATTTAGAGCATTAAAAAGTACTCCCACTCATAGACATAATAACAAAACATGCTCTGCGAACATGGCACTACGAGTGGCTCAGAGTGTGCAGGGCCACAGCCTGCAGCCCGCATTCTGTCTTGGGGCCTGTCCCTCCCTGCCCACCACGGCCCTGGGGCCTAACGGCCTGAGGGTGGGTGCCAACCAGTAGCTGCACTGGCCCTGTCTGCTCTCGTGGGTAAATTCACAAAAAAACATGGATAACAACAGAAAATGGTACTGAAGCAGTGGAAATCAGCAATTTTGCACAAGAAGCTTTGGGAGATGTTGTTTACTGTAGTTTGCCTGAAATTGGGACAAAATTTTAAAAAAAGAAATTGGCACAAAATTGAACAAACAAGATGAGTTTGGTGCTTTTTAGAAAGTATGAAAGCTGCTAGTGAACCTTATTCTCCTCTATAAGGAGAAGTAACTGAAATAAATGAAGCTCTTGCAGAAAATCCAGGCCTTGTCAACAAATCTTGTTATGAAGATTGGTTGATCAAGATGACACTGAGTAACCCTTCAGAACTAGATAAACTAAAATGAGTGAGGAAGCAAATGAGAAATACATAAACTCTATTGAGGAGTGAAAATGGAACCCCCCTAAATATAGTAGTGATGCGGGAGAACTCAAGTTTTGGACTCCGAGGACCCCGACTTGGGGCTCGAGTGACCAGGTTCTTGTCTTATGCCTTGAGATAGAATTCAGGGACACAACAAACAGCAAGCTTGAAAGTGCAAGTTTTATTAAAGTGAAAGTACACTTAAAGAGAGAAGTTTGAGCAGCTCAAAGGGAAAATGTGCCTCAACTGTCTGAATTGCCAGCTTTTATTTTCTTAGGGATGGAGGTGTCCCAAGTCTATCCATCCTGCCTCCCAGACTTGGCTTTTCTCATGCACCCTGGAGGGGAGGAGGCAGCCCAAGGCCATCTGTCTGTCTCCTGGCCTTGGCTTGTTTGTCATGCTGGAGTCTCACACTTAAAATCAAAACAGGGAGAGGGCTGAATAAGGGACAAGGGAGAGATTCCAGAGCTGTATCCTGGGGGTGGGGGTGGGTGGTAGACTTCCCTAGGCTAACTATCCTCCTGCCTCAGTAGTATGAAACAAACAAAAAACATGCTATAACATGAAAAATAAAACTACTGATGATGTTATTTCTAAACAGAGATGCAAAAATATAAAAAGATATATTAGCAAATTGAATCCAGCGGTACATC